AAAACAAAAAAAAAACCTTTGGCTTATATGATCTCCTGGGTCTGTTGTAGCGCAGACATTTTATGAGCATGGAGAGAATAAATTTTAGTGTTCTACTTCTACCAGGCATTGCCATTTAAGCCTTTTACTTCTAATTGTGGAATGAAAGGCTTTGGTCCATCTTGAAGGAATTCCAGGCATTAGGCAAGCAAACAGGTGGTAGGACTTTGGGGAGAGCGCTGAAATTAATCTGTGACTGTTTGTAAGGTTAATCCAGAGGACCTGAAGGTAAACCTGGTTTAGCCTCTGAATATAGCTGGAGGATCGGGGAGGTTAGTTCAGAAAAGATGATCCACTGCCTCCTCTGTGCCCAGACAGGTTCTTCCCTCCCAAGAGCCGGCTGCAGCTGTTGGTGACCTGTTCAGGGATTGTTTGGGGTGGGGGAGCATCCTGGGTTTGCACACATTTCTTTTCCAGGCTTCCCTACCCCAGCATGCGTCCGTCAAGATGGCTGCTCCATCTGCGAACTGCTTCATCCTCACTCTGTCCCTCCCTGACCACAAGTTCAGTTTCCTGCCCTTTCCTTTGCTTTAACAGCTTCATTTTCTGCCTCCAAAACTCTGAATAAGAGGATTTTTTGAAATATTTTCTATCATTTGAGGTATTTTATGATATTTTCTCTAATGTACTTCAAGTTTCCTATGCCTCTGGGGATGAAACTTCTAAGTTTCAGCTTTTTATTAGGATGTGTCAGAATCCTACTGTTTTAGGAATCTTACTATGTTTAGAAATCTTACTATTTTTAATGATGAATATGTCAGTAATATAGCACAGAAATGTTTATAAGCTTCTAAAATGAATGAAAAATGAAGGAAACACTTGTTTATAGTATAATGTAAGAGTACTTTACAGTTTCATCCTAACAATAACCATATAAATGGGGCAGAATGAATATTATTTATCAGATAGCAGATTAAAATCAAAGAGATTAGTTGAAAGTGAGCTCAATTCACAGAGTAGTGAAAAATCCATAGGTTTAACTCTGTTCCATGTTCTCTTTAGTATATTAAATCGCCTCTGAATAAGGTGATATTAATCTCTTGCAATCTTGTTCACATACATAGTCAACTTTTTATCAAATTCTCAAATAGAATCACTATGGACTAAGTAAAAAGAAAATATAAAGAAAGCAAAAGAGGGAGCTGATATTTATTGAACACCTAGTATGTGTCTTTATATTTGTTAATTACCTCCTCCATTCAGTACTAATGACCTGTGTCAGTGGTGACCATTAAGCCATTCTTGTAACAAGATAGCTACCTTTTCCCTATTCTCAGGTGTTTATGACAACACACTTAAGCACAATCACCCAGGGCTTGAGCCTTCCCTTTGCTTTTTATCCACACGATACCTGCTCTCCAAAAGCAGACACAGCCAGAAATGTGTGTTGAAATAGAAAGCAAGAGGTCAAAACAAAACACTCAACCAATGATGAATACTGAGACTCTTCTCTAAATGCTTCCTGTGTGTTTATTGTAAATGTTTATAAAAGGTAAAAATATTCTCAAAGACAAAATCCCTGTGAAAAAATATCTTCACAGAGTACCAAGAAAGATTACATTTAAACTCAGCCTTGAAGTATTACACACTTAGGAGTGGAGAAGAGTGAAAAGATCCAACTAATAGGGGTAGAATTGACAGCTTTTGGTAATTCATCTGATGATTCAGGGAATTGTATTCCAGCTACTTCCGGTAACCACCCACTCTCACGACCACATGAAGGCCCGTAGTCTGGCATATATTTCCTTCTAGGTACATATCTAACTTTAAAGAAGAGCCTTATCAAGTGGGTACATCATTAATGAGGAATAGTGCATTCAAACAATATTAGTCATGGGCCAAAAGAACTGGTGTGGTTTAGGAGGCTTTCCTTTGTTATTTGATGAACTGGGTCTATCTGAAGTTGGGTTTATAGTCACTGGTTTTTAAAGAATTTCCATGATGCTGAATTTTTACTAATTCTAGCTCAGGCTAACAGCTTGCATCTATTTTTGAAAGTTAGCAAGAACTCTTTCTGCAGCATGAACAGTACCAATTGTCCTGAATGTTCTAATCCTGAAGAGCAATCTGGTTTTGTCATCTCTTTCTGTTTTCTGTAATTCATTCTTCGTAGAATGAATTTTCTACTTGTAAGTTTTCTGTTGCTGATAGCTTCTGTTTTTTTTCTGTTCCCATTCATATTCTTGAACCAGTTTCTTTTGCAGAGTCATGTCTTTCTGCTGATAGAATTCACTGAGAATTTCTGTTGCAAAGATCTGGCCAAGTTTAGTGAATGAGATCCATGTTCCAGTTTCTGTATGTGTTCATACAGCTCCTGTCTGGCTGACAATTCGTCATGCAGTTTGGAATGGGAATGGCCGCTACCTTTTATGACCATTGTTAACATTAGTTTTGTCTGATTTCTCTTTTTTGATTATTTGTTTTCTCACTCTGTTCTGCCAGCTGTCCGTTGACAAATTCATCTCATCCATTTCATTTTTATTATTCTTTTTGTCTTTAAGTTCAGAAGCAAGATCAAATTATCTTACCTGTACAGTAAACTTCTTCAAACATCAGATTATTCTCTTTGTAAGTAAGATCTTTACCTAGGCCTTTCTGAGAGTTTTGTATAATTTATTAGTACACCAAGCTCAGTATAATGCTCCCTGCAGTCTTCTGATTCCGACAATAATTATAACCTGGTTTTCTTAAATCCAGTATTTTCTTTGTAAATTCATTAGAGTTTAGATTCCGTCTTCTCATAACCTAGTTTAAATTCATTTTCTCTGTCAAATGTTATGACATTCTTTGTAAAACCCTGCTATATTCAATAGATATCTGTCTTGCCAAATGCCATTTCAGTTTGTTTGCATCTTGTTCTTCAATTCTCAATATGACAAGTGGATTTTCCACAGTATTTGATTCATTTCTTTAAACCTGATTGAATATTTAATCCACATATGTTCAGAAATATTCATATTTTGTTTTTTGATTTCTTCAAAAGATGTGGGTGCTTCTTTAATCATTTTTTCATAATCTTCTCTTTGTTAAATAAAAATTTATGTATTTCTTAACATTCGTGCAATCTATTGTTTTTATTTGATGAAATCTGTTTGAAAAGCACATTCTTTGGGGGGAAAATGGCAAGTAAGCTAATTCCCAATAAATAAATAATAGTTAGAGCCTTCTAAGACATGCTGTGAAAATCAGGGCTGGGCCTTCTGGCACCTTTGTTGTAGGGAAGACAACAATCAGTCAAAGTACTTTCCATTAGAATTTCTCTCTGGTATTTCCTAATGTTTTCTCTTTATCTTTGAATATTCCTAAGTTTCTCCTTCCACATGGTTAGGGTAAATTATTTTTACATGCCACTTGAAATGTAAGTTCAATAATAGGACTACTATATTCAGTTTTGGAAAATTCAAATGGCTTGTAATGGTCCTACCATGTGAACCAAAGACATTATGAGTATACAGTGGTTGCTAAATAGTTCTTATTTTAGGTGCTGTTGTACTAGAAAAAATATAATTCTTAGTCTTACGGAAGTTTTACATATTAGATTATGTCTGTGTGTGTGTGTGTATGTGTGATTGAACAAGTGTATAACTTTATATTTTTCATGACTTTTAGGGTTCTCTGGGTTTATTTACTAATTTATATGATTCTTCTACTGTTCCCAATCTGGCCAAGATAACTTGTATATGATGAAAACATCCCTTTATTCTAGAATATAGAAAGAAATTTCAGATTTTTCCTAATATTTTCTATTGGTTTTATTGCTCAATTGTTTTTTAACCACTTACAAAACACAGATGGTCAGACTTATTCTGTGTAAGCGTTTGGGAGGAAACTAACTGCCCCACTGATGTTTTTATTTCTCATGATAGCGTTTCCATGTGGGAGCCGGTAGCTCAGGATCACATTGAAAGTCGCCTGGATACTAAGGCCTGTGCTGCTTGTGTCTTGAACTTTGTAGAGTTTGAAAGTCATCAGTCCTACTTAGCAGCTCATTCTTTAAAATCAGGCAGTTCTGTATTTTCCTTGGCCTTCTTCTTCTGGCAAATTTTATAAGACCTCAATTCTCATTGTGGGCTAATTATTCTCTTCTGTTTGCCTGAACCATAATTCAGTGCAAGGCTACTCCTGCCCAAGGAAATGAGGACAGAAATTATATAATTGAGAATAATGGCTTGAAAGCCATGAACATCTAGAATCTTGTGCTAAGTCTGATGCATACTAGCTTGGTGGTCTTTACTGGTAACTTACTTAAAAAAAAAAAAGAAAACAAGTTTTTTTTTCTCTGCTTTTAAAGAGGGATCATCATGAATGCTATTTATTGGATAACAATAATGAACTCGCCCTTGTAGAAAAATCAGGCCTACGATTACTACCTAAACACTGCCTGATTAAAAATGTTGTGATTTTATTCAAGTGGTTGTTGATCAGTGAAATTCCAATATATTCACATTTAATGAAATATAAATATTTGTAAAGATTATTTTCCATTACTAATATATACATTTAACTAACTGCTAACTAAATGTTTTCAGAAAATTATGATGAACCTGACTGAAAAGAAACTATAAATCATCTGAATTTAGTACTTTTAAACTATTAATTCTTACTTTATATACTGAAAAGAAATATTCCCAAGAAGCATAAAACTCAACACCACCAATTTTCTTAGCAAACCCTTTATTTATTGATGATATCAAACCAGGATGAACAAAAATTATGAATTATTAGTGTTCTTAAATAACACTAGATGATCATGTGTCTAGAGTAGCTTTTATAATTAAATGAAGCTTAAGAGTTTTGCTGAAATACAGTACCAACCTTTACAAATATCTCATCCCTTTCTTGAAGTTAGTTGTTAAAAACAATGAGAAAACATGAGACAATATATTGAAAGTATTTACTAGCCATTTTGGAATGAGGGAAAAAGTTAAACTACACTCAAAAAATTACACTTTGTATTTCAGGCCCTCCAGGGAAACGAGGTAAGAGAGGCCGAAGAGGAGAATCTGGTAAGTCTCTCTTTCAGCTGCTCTATGTCACTCATGTTCTGGTTAAGTTCCGGCATCTGTTCTTCCTAATTAATGATAATATTGTCTTGTTGGAGGTTGTGAGTGTATGTTTATTTAAATCTTCCCTGCTAGACCTAGTGTTTTTATTTTTAATCTTCTAATTTCTATCAAACTATAAAAAGGAGAGGTTTGCAAAGTATTGTTAATTGCAGTTTAGGAACAATTGGTACCCATTTTGGGCTTATTTACTGGGTCAAGCTAAGTTTGTCCTTTTTGTATGCAATGGAGGACTTCTCAGATGCACACAGTGTGATAGCATCACCCATGTTTTTGTCTATGTAGGTGGTTGGTAAATGCAGGTCCTTTGCAAAACCATCTGCCTTGGGACACTAGGGCACATGTCTTAGAAAGCTGTATTACTATTTTATCCAATTGGCACAATTTTGTCATGCTTTTACTCTTATTCTTTTCAAAATTTGGGAATGTTTTATTCTTCTTGTACAAGCATGGAATTTCAGTGATGACAGGAGTCTTAGTAATCAATCCAGAATTTTCATTTTGTAGTTGAGGAAATGGGGGCCTATAGCAGTCAGGTGATTTGGCCAAGGCAGAACTTAAAACAGAACCAATGTCCTGATTCCTACTTCAAGACATTCTTGCTTTCAGGCCAAATCCCTATGTGTAAAACAAATCCACAATGTAAAACAGAAAAATCAAGTAAAATTTCTTTGGAAACCAAGGTGATCTGTGTAAATGAGTTTACTTACAATTATTTTTCTTTTCTTTGGAAATGACCACATAAAGCCTTATCAGGCCATTAAATCTTCCATGTGAGATAAAGTAATTTAAGGTTGGGCTCTAGCATGCTGTAAATTGTTATTTTTAAGTATTTTCTCTAATATTTGTCAATATTAAAAATAATCAATTAGTAAGTGTTGAAACAGTAGACATATTAACCTATCAAGAAGAGCTGACAGGAGATTGATGTGTGTAGTTTTTTTCTTGTCTCATTTCCTCTTCCATTTTAAGAAAAATGTAAAAGTAAAAAAAAATTGATGAAAATATATTAATTTGAGCAGTATAGTTGCTTAATATTTTTAAAGATTGTTGTCAAAAGCTACTTTAAATGTGATTGAATCTAAATAATTGGAAACTTGTATAGGTATCCCTTTACAAAGTACCAAGCTTTCTAACAGAAGAAACTTTATGAATTTGTTTTGAGGAAAAAGAAATGATAAAACATTAGTGGAGTCAGATAATCATAGAAATGATCTTTGATCATTGTCAAAGGAAAGAGAATTATGGGGGAAAAGTGAAAAATTTACGTTTATACAAGTTTCATAGAAAATAAAAGCCAATTTACAACTTCCTAGCTACTTGGAACTAGTATTTTAATTGAGCATAATGGTGTATGAAATATTTAAAGTTGTCTTAGACTTTGCCTGTTTTGATGGTTTTAAAGAAACTTACATAAACATGAGGACCTAGTCTTTTATGTATTTACAATAGTGTTGAATAAAAAATTCTAAGGACAAATAATAGGTACATTTCTCATTTGGCTGTTTTACCAAACTCAAGAAGTTATATATCAATTCTCTACAACTGGTCTATTATAAATTACCAAATATTCTCATAATTCATATGTATCTAAACTCTTATAAATTAGTCTTTACTAAGGTAAATGAACCTCTCAGTAATTCATAGACAGGCTTCAGGGAATCTAAAAATTACTTGAAATTTTACATAAAATTTTGTGTGTAATTATACATTTTTCTGAAATGATCTCAAAGCCTCCATGGCCTAGAAAAGATTAAGAATCAATGAATTTTTAAAAACTTCCATGTCTGTTATATCATGCTGATGATTATGCTCAAATCTTTTATTTGGTTTTAATATTTTGCATATTCACTAACTCATCTCTCCTCCTTCTTCTTTCTCCACCTCCCCCCCAACCCCGCCTGCATAGGTCCTCCTGTAAGTATGTTTGCTGCACTTTGGCTTGTTTGCATTTATCAGGATCACGTATGTTAAAACTTGTTTAAAACATCAAAATGTAGCCTATATGTCTATTAGAAAAATGTTACTGACCTTTTAAGAGTATTCTTAAGTTTGGGAAATTATTTTTTAAGTATACAATTTTGTGATCGTGTGATACATTAGAATGCAATATATATCCATCAAAAATTTTTTCAATTTTTTTTTATTTTCATAGGTTATTGGGGAACAGGTGGTATTTGGTTACATTAGTAAGTTCTTTAGTAGTGGTTTGTGAGATTTGGTGCACCCATCACCTGAGCAGTATACACTTCCCCCTATTTGTAGTCTTTTATCCCTCACTGCTTCCCACCTTTTCCCCCGAGTTCTCAAAGTCCATTGTGTGATTCTTATGCCTTTGGGATCCTCATAGCTTAGCTCCCACTTATGAATGAGAACATATGATGAAAAACATTTATTTTTGATATGATCACACACCAATTACTCTCATGGGATTTTTGGATAACTTATGAAGCTTCTGATTTTAAATGCTTTTCCTGGAATTCTGAGGTTTCTTTTGTAAGCAAATATCCAAGCTATTTCACAGTTCTTTTTTCATCTGTTTAAACTTGTATCTGAAATATTTGCATTTGCCAGTCTACCAAATGTAGATGGCAACATGATCACGGAAATGATACCCCCAGTGAGCCTGGACCAGTCCTCCCTCCTTAGGCAACACTCCCTTTGAAGTCTGTTGGAGTTTTGCCTGTGTGAAGAGAATGAGATGGAGCCCTTGGAGAGTTTCACTTTCTTTTTTCTTTCCTTGAGTAGGTCATAGCTCCAGCATTCCAGTCTGCTTTGCACTCACAGGAACAGATTATCTTGTCAGCTCTGACTAGATGTGTTTTTGAGTAATATCCTGGATATCTGTGTCTGACCCCAGTGTTTATACTGTGCACTGTGCATTTACAGTAGCGATGATCACTGGCCTTGAGATATTTTCTCATCCCAGTTAGCCAGTTTGCTCCAGAGTTCACAGACTCGGCGTTGGCAACTTATCTAACAGGCCAGCATGGTCCAGGGAGAGAGGCTTAGCGTATACTCGTTTACTTTATTCAGAGGAAGCATTGGCTTCCAAATATCTTTTGCAGTCTTCCTGCCATGTTCAAGGATGGAACATTAATCATGTTAGAAATGACTTTGCTTCTGTAACTGACTTTCAGCTCTTGCTTAATGCTAGGCAGATGGCATGCCCTAGGTCTAGGAGTCTTTACTTTCTGGCTTCATACTTAAGCCTTTTCATGTTAAGTAAGTAACAAACCGCTGCTACCCAGAGGAAACTCCTGAGGTTACGGCTGGAGTAGAGTGTTCAAGGCTTCTTTCTGTGGAATCCACATTAGCTATGCCAAGAGGTAGTAAAATCTCATTTCTGCCTTAGGAATTCTTCAGGGTTCTAGTACTGCCTCTTTGGTTCCTGGAAAACTCAGGCAACCATATAGCTCTCGCTTTCTCGAGGCCTTCTGTTAGTCTAAATTCTCCACCGAAAGATGTCAATTGTTCCTCCTTTTCTTATTATATATAAGTAAGAGAGAATTAGTATTAAGCCCCTAGTGTAAGGCAAGGAATATTCTAGGTACTTTACATGTATAATTTCATTTTGTTCTCACACCAACCCTCTAATGTTACCATTCCCATTGTTCAGTGAGGAAACTGAGGCTCATAGAGGTTAATTACCAAACGTTGCACAGCTAGAGGATTTGCAAAGTTAAAATTCAGTTAGATATGTCTGATTTTAAATCGACTTAGTTTACCACTTTATTCCATTCCTTATGAATTATAGTTGTGCTATAACATGGGTCATTGTTACATGGGTTTGGCAGGCCATGGGTCAAATCATATTCCTTGCTTAAAACAATCACATATACTGGCTGGGCGCGGTGGTGGCTCACATCTTTAATCCCAGCACTTTGGGAGGCCGAGGCAGGTGGCTCACTTGACATCAGGAGTTCAAGACTAGCCTGGTCAACCTGGTGAAACTTTGTCTCTACTAAAAATACAAAAAATAAAAAACAAAATTAGCTGGGCGTGGTGGCATATGCCTGTAATCCTGGTTACTAGGGAGGTTGAGGCAGGAGAATCACTTGAACCCGGGAGGCAGAGGTTTCAGTGAGCCGAGATTATGCCACTGCACTCCAGCCTGGGAGACAGAATGAGACGTTGCCTCAAAAAAACCAAAAACCAAAAAACAATCACATATAATAAAATTATGGCCCAAAATGCAAAATGGCTAATATATAAAACAAGTATTGATACTGTCCCACCTTTAGTACATTTGAAAGAAGTTATGTTTGGCAAATAGAATCAAACCCAAGAAATAAAGTATAATCATGAGTTTTCATACTGACTAGAAGATAATTCAAGTTACTTATATTTGACATGAAAATCCATTGATTGATTGTACAAAAGAGAAAAAAACATTGATTGTGCTATCTTTACTAATACAGCAAGGACCTACCATAGTACTTAAGACCCAATGTCAGGGACTTCCCTGTGGGTAAAATATATGATGAAATCCTCTTGAGCTTCCAATTTTTAAATCTCCATGATACTTTTTAATATCTAAAAAGTATCTGCCCTCCATCAAATTTTGCTTTAGAGTAGGTGGCTTTATAACAAATTTCTGGTACATTTTTTATATCTGAGTAAATATTAATGAACAATGGGATTATTACAATTAGATAAATTTACCAGCAATATGTTTATTGCGAGGCAATACCCAATAACTGACAATTTTAATTTCTAGGGACTATTCTTATTTTTACATCATCTTAATTTTAGGCGCAGTTAACCCTTGAACAATGTGAGGGTGAGAGGCACCACCCCTCTGCTCAGTGAGAAACCCACAGATAACTTTTGACTCCCAAAAAACTTTATTACCAATAACCTATGTTGACAGAAAACCTTACCGATAACGTAAATGGTTAATTAATACACATTCTGTATGTTGTATGTATTACATACTGTATTCTTACAATAAGCTAGAGAAAAGATGTTATTTAGAAAATCACAATAAAGAGAAAATGCATTTATTATTCATTAAGTAGAAGTGGATCATCCCAAGTCTTCATCCTCACCATGTTCACATTGAATAGTCTGAGGAGGAGAACGATGAAAAGGGGCTGGTGTTGTTATAGGCAGAGGAGAAAGAGAACTGGCATACAAGTGGACCAATGCGGTTCAAGCCCTTGCTGTTTAAGGTTAACTGCATATTTTTTCCTTTCACTTCTTTTGCCTGAGCTAAAATCTGTCAGTTTCTGTAATTTTATTTTTAGAGAAATGTATTATCCTACTTTGTGTCTTTTAAAACGTTATTCAACTATCTCCACAAGTAAGCTATCGAGGCATATATTGTCATGTTAATCACAGTGGCCTTGCCTCCATTCTGTACTCTAAATTTAAAGCACAAATTGGTCTGAGAAGTTAGTCTTGCTTCTGGTGAGCAGTCCTTGGCACAGAACCTATATCAAGTAAATTCCCCAAACTTCCTTCTGGCCCTCAGTTCCCATGATAGTGTGGCTTCATGTGTTCAGACAGATTAGAAAATGTAACCTGGTGTCCTGATGTGTATTTTTCTGTCATTCACTTTCACTTCATTGTGAATGTGCTCCAATAGAGCAAAAGACATTTGAGCACTCATTAAAACAAACTAGCTAATAAGAAACTAGATGGCCCAGGGGATAATGGCAGATCTCATTTTAAGATTAAAAGAAACAAAAAAAAAGTATTAATGATACAATTTAATTTAGCAACCGTATGTTTACAGCTTTACTTAGAATATTTTGGAAAACTTGGATATATTTCACTAGAATTGTATGTGCATATATAATTGTGTTTTTCTTTTGTCAGTTTTTGTATTCTTACATATTGAGATCATTTATAATTTAAACTTGAAATACAACTTGAATTAGATCCCATATATTGATTTACTCTCTAGGAAGCTTTGAGCTTATTAGTCAGCCTTATCTACACACACACACACACACGCACGCACACACACACACATACACACACGCACGCACGCACACACACACACATACACACATATGTAAATATAACTAGCAGAGAAGTCTCTGCTAAAAATGGCTGCAGCAGACCAATTTTGTGATAATGTATGAATTTGTTTTTAAGTGAACATCAGATACTTTTTTCTATTTTCTTTCTCATAAAGATAACACATACAGGAATACTGTTCTAATGGACTCTATGCAGACGCTTGGAACATCTAGCTCAGATATCACAACTGTATTTGCTAGAATGATTTGTCAGTCCATTGTGTTACATGATTGTCAAATTGTACCTTCTAGTTTGGATAACTTAAAAATAAGTTTATACTTTAATAGGAAGCAGAGAGTTCGATCAAAATTTACAAAATGACTTCAGGGTTTTGAAATGGAGCAAATTTTACACATAGTTTTGATCTTTTTCAGAGTCAATAGTGGGTGCAGTCTCTCTGTCTCTTTGTCCCAAAAAGAAATGTCAGTCTAATATTCACAGGTCACAGAATCAAGCAAGTCCTGTAACTGTAGCCAGAAAAGAGCCAGGAGACCTTTTTTAAACTGGCTGTTTTATTTGTATCAGTCTATCAAGCCCTATAATTATGCTTGACTGACAGACATATGATGTTATTGTTGGTCGTGTAGAACCCTCTGAGGTGTGAAATACGACGCTGTTGTACAGCCTGCTCTGTCCTGTCCACCTTTAACAATTGTCAACTTGGTTTGAAACCTAAAATCTTGTTGACAGATGAATGAAGCAGACTTGGCCAAGTTAAGCTTGCAATGCAATTTCTGCCAATGTGGTAGATGAATTAGGAAAATAAATCTCAGTAGAATGTTTAGATGAAAACCTCTGATACCTTTACTTCATACTGAAAAAAATGATATGATTTTTAAGTCAAATTATGTCCTTTCCTGATATACTAATAACCACAATTTATAGCA